TTCCCAATTTTGGAAAAAGAAATTACCAGGAACCAATTCCCCAGTCCCAGAAAGCTGAGTCATTCCCGAAACCTCTCTTCTTCCTTCTCTGCTCTGACCAATATCCAATTTCCCACTTAATGACATCAGCAGTACCTCCAAAATATGTCAGGGTAAATCCTCACCACCTCTGCTGCTATCGTCCTCATCTAAGATGTCATTGCATCTAATCTGGAAAACTGCAGGAAGTACTAGCTGGATTCCCTCTTTACACAGCCTTATCTTCAGGACTGATTCTCCATAAGAAGCCAGGATGATCTTTTTAAAAATATGTCATAATGTATCACAGCCTTCCTCAAGACCATCTCGATTCCTTTTACGGTAGGAAATCTTTGCCAAATATATGTAGCCTGGCCTCTTCTTCCTTCTCTCTTCTATCCACCCACCTGCTCCTTCTCTGTGTTCCAGCCATACCAACCTTCTTTCTTGATTCCTTGAATTATCTCGTGTTCATTCTCCCTAAAATGTTTTTCCTCTAGTGTTTGGTGTGACTAATTCCTCTTCATTGCTGAAATCTTAGCTCAAAAATCATCTCTTCAGAAGAGAGTTCCCTCATTCCCCTTTCTTCTATTATCCTGTCTTATTTTCTTCACAGATCTTCCTCCCCCCCCCACCCCGCTAGAGGGAATGTGCACTTACCAGAGATGGAGAAAGGGAGAGGGAGAAACTTCCCTTAAGGGGTATGGTCATGCCACATTCCTTCTCCATTTCTCCATCATTTTGGGATTTTTTACACACATCTGTCTTGTTTCTCAAGCCACCAGGGCTGGCATTTGAACAATAGAGGGCCATGTGGGATCCAGTTCCCTTAATCATTAGGCTACAGGGTCAGTCCCATGGATCTTAATACTCTCTGAAAATAGTCTCTTTCTTTCTTTCTCTTTCTCACTGTCCTTTCTCCCTCCAGTGGGCTCTAGGAGGGATGGCATCTTGTCTGCTATGGTGACTACTATGTCCCAGTGCCTAGAATGATGCCCAGAGCCTATAAGTGGCTCAATAAATATGTGTTGAGGAAGTACCTGGTGTTCTTGCAGCAGCTTTAAGTTCTCTTTATAGCTGTATACTAGTACGTAGTAGTGATTGACATACTCACTTCTCTTCCTGCTAAAACTAGTTGCCCTACTCGTGGGCATCGATTTTTTTTTGGAGAGGTTTTTGCTATAGGGCGCATGTGCTCGCCAGACAGACACAGAGAGACAGAGAGACAGAAAGCAAGAAACCACCCCCCAGGGGGGATGGCCACGCTGCAGTCCCCTCTCCTCCATTCTCCCCTCAGGATCTTGGGCACGCATGCACACGCGCCCGGCGTGAGTTTAAGCCACTGGGTCCGGGACTCGAAACGTGGTTCGACCACGTGGGAGTCCAGCGACATGGCCATTACGCTAACTGCTGGTCCCACTCCTGGACATTTTGAGAACCAGAATTATACTGCTCTTTGTGCAGAGGAAATAAGTGTCAGACCCCCAACCATCAGTAGTCAATGCTTAGGCTGGCCAGCAACCACTTTGATATGGTCTGACATGAAATGCAGGTTGCAATACACAAATTCCCTCTCTGGGTCACACTGGTGTCTTCACTGAGAGTGCGTCCTCAACTCAGCTGGGTATTTTTAACATAATGGTGTTCTCCCTGCGGCTGTGTGCTCTCTCAACATTTATGGACCAATTCTGATACTTTTCATTAGGATTTTAGTTGTAGTCTCTTTGTGGTCACATGACCTTGCTATTCTGGGATCTCTCCCTCCACTTCTGTGTGGTTCTTGTGACCTTGTTTTCTCTCCCTCTCTTTGGGGTACCTGTCTCTCCCTCTCTACCTCTCTCTCTCTGTGTCTCATTTCCTGCATGTCTTCCCAACAGTTCCACGTACTCACTATAGTTGCATTTCCCCTGATGTGTGTTCTTACTATGGCATATGTTCCCAGTGTGATTTTGGAGTTTCACTACAGGTGTGTGTTTCATCACAGCTGTGTGTTCTCATTATAGGGTGCAAAAAAAAATGCTGTGGGGATATGCTCTCTGTGTGGCTGTGAGTTTTTTAATAGAACTTCACAGTCGTAACTGATCACATTTGTCCAGAAGTTAGGAGTACAAGAGTATTTTTGCTATTCTATAATCTCACCATTCCCTGCCTTTGTATCTGATCGTACATATATCTTAGATTGGATGTAATACAGTTATTGACTCTCTCAGAGATTTTCTCAAGGGTGGACCATGACTCTTCACTGCCTGCCTAACTGACACCAGAATGTCATTCTGCATCATTAGATGACTTCTACCATTTGATGCCATAGGTAACAGGAGGAGTATCTCACTGACCACGCAGAAGGAACCTCCATAGGCTAGCAAAGCCACCTTTGAAAGGCCTAAGGTGACCAATACTTCTTGGCTGCTTCTCAACAATGGAACTGTCTCATCTCCAGGTATAATTGAGCTCGGAGTCCTGAACATAGGAACTAACATCTGGACAAAACATAGAGCACCTGAGGATAAATTCAAGGGAGTCAGAGGACTCAAAAGACATGCAAGAGCAAAAGAATATAGGGAGGCACATATACGGAGAGGTCCAGGGAGTGAGGAGAGCCAGAGGACTCAGTAAGGGATTGGGCAAGGAGGACATGAAGAGTATGGCTCTACAAAGGTCCAAAGAAGCCAGAGAGATATAGATATATTTGTTCCAGGAAGATAGACAGGTGGATAAAGTTGGAAGCCTGGGCAGTATGAAACAAGGTTGAAAAATATGCATTAGGGGAGACCAGGGATGCAAAAGGGCATGTTAGGGATGGGAGAGAACGGAGGCGAAATAAGGGACACACTGATAGAAATGGCAGAAATGTGTCAAAGATGGGAGACAAATGAGATGACAGGGCAGAGATGAATTGGGGGCATTACTCACCACTGAAGGCATAGGTGGCACCATGGTCGTCAGACGTCAGTGCAGACAAGAGTAGATCAGGACTACAGCGTGAATACTCCAGGCCATGGTGGGTACCATTTCCATGGGCAGTCCTATTCCTGTATCTATGGCCATGGCCTGTGGGGAGAAATAGGTGAGTGGAATACAGAAGGAGGCTTGAGGTCAGAGTGAGGTCCGAGGTAGAAAAGATGACTGGGGCTAGTAGGAGTATGGGCTTCCCTCCTATGAGGAGAATGAGAAGAGCCAGAATGGAAAATGGGCTGGAGTAGGAACCAAGGTGGAGGATCAGCAGATAGCATAATGATTACGTCACTGAACTCCCATGTAGTTGACTGTGATTCGAGTCCTGGACCCGGTGACTTAAAACTCACACCTGGAGCGTGTACGTGCATGCCCAAGATCCCAAGAGAAGAATGGAGGAGATGGGATTGTGGAGAGGTCATCCCCCCGGGTGCTGATTTCTCACTTCCTGTCTCTCTGTCTCTCTGACAAGCATACACTCCCTATAGTAAAATTCACTCTTTAAAAAAAAAAAGAAGAACCAAAGTGGAATACTACAGAGTTATGGTGAGAGCTTGAGCACCCAAGGTCCAAAAGCTCAGAAAGATGGGTGAATTTTAGCAAGCTTGTGCCTAGAGCTTTCTTACCTCTGCCAGGGCAGGACATGAAGTAGTCTCGGGCATCCAGAGGATACCTGGGAGGCACCTCTCCCGTGACTGGGTTGAAGCGCAGGAACTGGTTACCCTGGAAGCAGTAGTAGCGGCCAAGCCAGCGCAGGGCAGAGGAGCAGTTTCCAACAGCTGGCCATTCTCGCTCCTTTTTTTCTCCCGTAGTGAAGTCCCAGAACCATTCACGGTTACCTTTGTTCAATCAACAAACATTCAGTGAGACAGAGTTATGTCATCCATTATGCTTGCACTAGGCCCAGGATGGGCCAGATATGATATTGGCCATATGGAGCTCAGAGTCCTGCAGGGAGACAGCTGAGGAGAGCAGTCAATCATACAATAAAATTTAGCAGCAACATGCACATGATTAGCTAAACAATAGGAGGGAAGAGTCAGAGAAAACTTAAGGTGATACATTGAAATCTGATGTAGGAGTTACAAGGCAGACAAGAAGAGAAGATGGAACTCTAGAGGAAGGATAAAGACCAAAGTATGAAGAAAATTGACAACTACATAGAGTTTCTGGAGTTGACATTCAAGGTAAGGGTATGATGAGAGTCAAAGCTGGAGGTTCACCAAGGGGATGGTCATGGAGAGCCCTGTGTATAAGACTAAGGAGTATAGATTTGTCCCAAAGGTCATGGGGAACAATGAGGGACATTTAGCAGAATTATACCCAATTACATTTACCACAATGACTTCTCATCCTCTTACTTGACCTTTAGACCATAACTGGTTACTCTCTTTCCCTTCCTTAGAAAATTACACAGTGGTTCCACTACCATCATCGCTACCACTACCACCACCACCACCACAACCCACCACTCATCCAGGTTCTTTGGATTCCAGCCTGGACTGACCTTGGAAGAAGAGGACACCTTCATCTTGGCATTCTCCACGGTGACATTCCACAGCAGCATCCAAAGGAGAAGGGATTCCAGGAAATTCTTCTTGGAGTGACTTGGGATATCCATTCTCTTTCTTTCCAGAAGAATACATCCAGACTTTGTCCCCCTGTATCCAAAAACATTATCTTTTTAATTGTGTACCCCTAGATACTTCCACTCTGCATACACCTACAATGTCTTTAACTTATTGCATTTATGCAATATCCTTCTGCAGACCCCACACACTTTGAGTCCATCTGTAAATAACAATGTACACAATACTTTGTGCAAATCCAGTAGTTATCAAAACACATACACATGAGACCAGCAGTTAGCGTAATGGCTATGTCGCTGGACTTCCATGAGGTTGACCGCAGTTCGCGTCCTAGACCCGGTGGCTTAAAACTCATGTTGGGCGCAAGTGCGTGCGTGCCCAAGATCCCGAGAGGAGAATGGAGGAGAAGGGATTGCAGCATGGCCATCCCCCCTGGGGGGTTATTTCTCGCTTTCTGTCTCTTTGTCTCTCTCAGTCTGTCTGGCGAGTGCACGCACCCTATGGCAAAAAAAAAAAAAAAAAAACCTCTCTCAAAAAAAAAAAAACAAACAACACGAC